AGGTAGTAATGCGATTGGTTAGTTAACAGTAGCATATTGATCAATGAGATATCGATATCGATATAGCTTAACTATTATAGTTTGTACGTTATCTTGCATGAAGATTTGTACGTCACTAATTTGTCTAATAAACTCAAATTAGTGTATATATAGAGGTAAAGAATTAATAATAAAATTTGCTTTTTCTCTCTAGTAATTGGGAAGTGCCAAAACATAAATAAAATGATACTGGTTTGGTGGAGTCTTGTGTGTCTACGTGGAAGTGGTGTTGAATAGGTGTGGTGTGTTAAGTAGTGACACCATTGAAGATTGCCTAGTAATTCCATCCGAGCTTTCACTTATTGAAATCTTAAAATTTTTCCATAAATACATAATATCAAGAATAATTATGATAAGTTACGATCAAACGTTATATTATGTTGATACTACACAGCTAATGTGATCACACTATTAAAATATTAATCAGACTCGACATCAATTAATCATTAGATGTGAACATAGTATATTAAATGACAAGTTAAATATATGAAATAACTAAAAAAGACATATTGGTATTAAAAAATTGCGTAATAATGATATTTTGTCATATATATATATTATTTCTCAATTTTGATATTACTTTATTTTTTAGAAAATTTATCCATGATTGAAACCGTAGATAACAAAGACAAAATAATAAAAAATTTGATTAATTTTATTTGGAAGGCAACAAGTGGAAAAGCTGCATCATTAATCTTTGATAATGATCCCTTATTCTCAGCCACCCTGACTCTCAATGATGGAATATCTAATACAATATACTTGGATGCACCAAGTGCGGTAATTATTAACAGAGAAAACTTTCTAAAGATCGCAGACCTTGCCAAAGTAAATGAAAGTTATCAAACGATAATTGATGTTGATGACCACGAAGTAAGCAATATATGGGGTGTTAGTAGACATCAGACAAACTGTTTTTTAGTGAGTTTTTTTCAAACTTTAAAATAAAATAAAAATTATCAAGTTTGATTTAATAGTCGTTGAGATATTTTAATTTAAAGTTTGAAAAAAATTTAGAAACAATTTGCTGGCACCCAGTTATTTCTATTATTTAGAAAAATACTAAATAATGAAAATTTATAGGCTATTCAAGCTGATGATATTAATCTTGATAGACAACCTAGTGATATATCATTAGATTTTGTAAACATGGACATTCAAGGTAGTAATGCGATTGGTTAGTTAACAGTAGCATATTGATCAATGAGATATCGATATCGATATAGCTTAACTATTA